CTGCGCTGCATAAATTTTTCAGATTTTCCACTAATATGACGATTACTTGAGCGAAACAAAAAAAAACTACTCGAACAACCTTTGAAAATTTGGCGCATAACTATAAAATAGACAGTGGGCGTTAGATGAAAATATGCAGCTCAGGATCGAAGGACCTGGTATTGCTGTGCTTAGCGTGTGGGAGCATCCTAGTAATATCACTAAAATAGAGTACCTAAACTGAAATCTGGGCGGTGTTAGTGTTAGAACAACGATTACTTTAGATTTAATTGTTCAGTAAATGTTTAATTTTTCAGTAAGTGTTTTTTTATAAATTCATCCAAAATAGATTATTCCTATTTTTTGAAAAGAGGAACAGGAACAAAAAATTGGAGTAAATTAAATTTTTTTGGATTTTCGAAAAAAAAAGAAATTACAGGAAGAAGCAGCAATGATGTTCAACATATTAAACATTGAATATCGATGTGTAGCGGCAGCGCTCTATCCACCTGATGATCTTTTGGTCACATCAAACGATCAATTACGCCTGATGAAAATGTACAATGATCCAATTGCAATAGATCCAACGGAATTATTTGATATGGACCGTGACAGATTGGGACTTGCCAAAAAAGCGATGCGAAAGTATCTGGAGCCAGAAGATGTTGAAAAGATGGACAAGTTGGAGACAACAAGATTTTTGTTGCCTGAAAGTATGAGTGATAAGGAAAATAAAAAGTAATCGGTTATTGTTGCTAGAAACTGATTCTAGTATTATCAGCGGGAGGAGGACCGGGAGGGGTGAAGGAGGGAGGAGAGGAGAGGGAGCAGGGGGGAGAGGGGGAGTTTTAGATTGTTCCTCCTATGCCATAATTCTGTGCAGTGGCTCAAAATGAGGGCTTACTGTAGTGGGATTGGTAAATAAGTTTCAGAAATTCTATGGCCTTTTTCAAGCATTTTTTAAAAATGTCCAAAATTAATATTGCTTGAATAAGAAGGAAATGATGATATGAGTATCTTGTTTGGACTTGGGAAATATTTATGATACATTTTATGCTTTTTTAGAAGATTTGTCGGATTGTTTAATATATGCTGTTGTTTTTTTAACGATACTAAAGGTAGTCTGTAGAAACGTGGGCTGAGCTTCGGCCAGAATAGATTAGATAGGTTGGGAACCTGAAATTTTGGTAATTGCCTTCATCAGCTGACGAGATAAAGGACCGAATTTCGGTTTATTTTTCCTTTTTGGTCGTCTTTCCCCTCTTTTTCCTCATACTCCCATATTTCGGTTCTGATCTATGAACTCAGGTCCAGATTGGAGCCAGTTTTATAGGTGAAGACTCGTAAAGTACTTATTTAGCAAAATTTTGAAACTAAGTTCACCGATTTTTCGATCATGATGCCTCACATCTTTTACTTATTATTCCTTTTTTATGGAGAGTGGGCAACAAGGAGAAGTGGAGAGGGGTAATTTTTTGTTTTTTTTTCAAAATCGGTTCTGTATTTATCTATTTCTTTTAGCAGTGATCACCACTATTGTATAGGAATATGAAAAAAATTTGCTTAGCGGGAAAGGAGATGGGCAAAAAAATGGATTTGGAGGGAGAGCAGTTTTCGTTCCTTGTATTTCTGTCTACGTTGCGAGCGAATTGCTGTTGTTTTCGTATTGTAGTTTTTGTTTTTATTGCTAAGGCTGTGCTAGTAGTGCTTGCAGAAATTTGTAAATTTTTATGAATAAATTTGTACAAAGTAATAAATTCTTGCGAAAATTCTCGGCGCTTAAATTGCTTCAATTGCATATCGGAGCGTTTAAATACTCTTTTTATAAGGTAAATTTCTCGTATTTCTTGTGTGCTTTTCTTGAGTTTCCCTCCAGTAACCTCTGGTTCACAGCGTGTTTAATCTACAGCCCCGCAGTTGGCAACTTTTCCACTTGCTTCGACACCTGATGGTCATCTTGCTGGTGATCCTGATGTCCGTTTTGTTTTCCGAAAAAGTTACCATCTCTACAATTTTCCCAATAGAAATACTTGGCAAGGCTTTAGTACTTTCGAAATATCTGAGCGTGCTAAACAAACATCAATCACCTTACCTCGGGTACGTTTTCACTGCCAGATCTCGGTGAGAAGGCATATCTTGTTGATTCGAAGTTTCTTTGGCTTATTTTTTGTAAAACCACTTAAATTGATCTTTTCTCGTTTCCTTCTGTTTCTGATTATGCCCCATAACTGGCTTCTGACCAGTGTCCACTACAGCAGTTACCTACGCTTGACCAATGCCCATTATAAGTTTGCATGAATACCATTTAGTAGTAGGCCTCAGTGTTGTCCCCGGTCATTTCCTCCGTGTAATCGGCTTAATTTTCTTCGCTAGATGACAATTTTTCAAAAGCGATTGGTTGCATGAAGTGGCGGAACACTGAGATAATGTGTTGTAGAAGATTCGCGCACAATGTCTGAGGTGTTACGAAGGGCGCGAGATGCGGCTCTTCGGGGAAGTCACGTCATAGCGGCACGTGGCTTTATAGAAGCGATGGCACGTATGGACGTAGCGCAGCGCAATCGCTTCCACGATGAATACATTCTATTACTGGAAACAATGGTGCATGCTGGTACCGATGAAAAAGAGGATCAGTTTCTGCTTCTCATGCAAAGTTTGCAAATATACCCGGAAGATGGTGCAATCTTCAATGTTATGGCTAAATTTTACTTCACCTTCGGTAACTTTTCCCTATTTGATTGGATTCAAAAGAAAAAAAAAGATTCGTATGTCTGTATCGGTCTGTGTGTTTCTGTATTTAAATATGTTTGCTTGTGTCTGTCTATATATATACATAAATGTTTATGTTTGTATGTGCATAAATATATACGCATGCGTTTATGTATGTGTATGTATGTGTGTATGTGTATGTATGTATTTACTTATTAATGTATGTATGTATGTATGTATGTATGTATGTATGTATGTATGTATGTATGTATGTATGTACGTATATATATATGCATGTATTTATGTGTTTGGATATTTCAGCCTTCAGAAACAGAAGGGAAAAAAATCTGATATTTTGAAACGAGATTTTCTCGCCACTGATTTTTGTGGTTGCTAAAATAAACTTTCTTTGCCTTCAGCTTAACTTTACCCCTAAGTCTGAATTATTATTCCTTGCTAATAGGAAAAACTACAAAATTGGTACGAGAAAGAAGTCCTGGTATCGATTTCTTTATCTTGCTGTTCTTTGACCTTAGACGTTGGCATTTAGTAAGCATATTTACTGAGGACAGAATAAGCTTTTTTGTTTTACAACTTCCAGTGCAAATCGTTTCATCGCTTTACCAAGACTCGTTGCTAAAACAACTTTGATAATCTTCATGATAATCATTGGATGGTGTTTTGAATGCAGTGAGGTACATCCTGAAGTAGGTCTCTGCGTTAGCTAATCTCAAAAAGGTAAAAATGAGCCAGTCCCTCATGCGGCGAGCAACGTTCGAAATTCTTCATTGGAAATTCTCTTAAACAATTTTTTTTTTAGCCGAAGTCGGAAGTGTAGTTCATCCCTTTCTGATAAAATAGCTTTGAAGGGCAGGATTTTGCATTTTGAGCTTAAGTACATCACGAAATATTAATGTTGTTTATTCCTGATTCAGGTTACCTACTGAAAGGGATGGCTTATGCGAAAAAAGCTATCAGTATAAGTACTGGCATAGTACGGGTGCGCTCATTGATCGACTTCGAAAATATCAAGTCCAATGTGTAGGTTTCAGTAATAAAAAATTCCTATTTGTTACTGTATTATGTTAAATTTGTGGCAGCTAATTTTGCGGGTTTGGTGCGGTCCCTGATTTAGGGCGCAAATTAGTGATTCCATTCCGTCAGCTGAGAAACTAATTCTTTTAATAATTCCTCACAATGGCAAATTGGCATTGATCTGTGTAATTGGATCAGACCTCCGTCAGTTTTCTTTTTGAAAAACTTTCGGTTGATGGAGCCACAAACAATCTTACTTGTGAATGACTGTTATTGCCTGATCTGCAACTGATTCCGAGTGCCTTAACTCCAGCTTGACGTGCTTTTTTATGTTGCGAAAAAATAACGAAAAAAAAAACTCAGCAAAGGAACAAACTTCAACTTCCCACGAGAAGATAGGCAAGGGTGAAAGGTGTATGCTGCCTTGAAAGGAGGTGCAAGATAGAAGTGCTTGAAGGTGGCTGATAGGCACAAGGACCGGTAGTGTAGTGGTTTAGCACGCTGCATACAGTGTGAAGACGAGTGGTTCGATTTCCTTCGGATTTTAGTTGTCTGCCCAAAAGATTGTCTGCGAGACTTAAAACCATGGCATTTCATTTCATCTCTAATTCTGTCCTTTTTGTGCTGAAGAATCAAGCTGATGAGTAGGCACTGCCGACACACCAACCTGAATGGGTAGATCTGAATTTCATTCCATTATTGTTCCCGCTACTA